ATCCCCAGATTTTCATAACCTTGGTACACAAGTCGTCTATACTCAATCGTAATCTAATTCCAAAACTATATATGTTGTGCCAGTCTCAACGGGTCCTGCCAACCGTTGGTTGGACAACGTAATGCCAGGTCAACCGCCAAACTTGTACCCCATGATCCCGGCTCGCTTAAGGACCCTACTACCACAAGGCATCAAGACATAGACTCCAAGGCCAACAAGGAATAATGTTCCCAGGTTTCCATTTACGTTACAGCAAACCTGGCATTATCACGCGGCCTTTATGAAAAACCCTGTTAAGCTTGCTTCTTTTATGCACACGCACGGTTACCGGCATCTCAGATACTCTCTGCGCAGAGAGCTTCCATGACCTCTAGCCTTGGCCAGGCCAACTCCGGTCTCGACTTCCTGCGTCTGACAGCCCACGAGTCTATGAACACCTACACTCTACCAAGGTCATGTTTAAAGCCCCGTGTGACTCAACGAGTATGTCCTCCGCCGCAAGCACGTATCGACCGAATAGGTTCTCCTAGTAACGTCCCAAAGCCTCTGAGATCTTAGTCTTGATCCCAGGAGAGCTTCTAGACTCAAGAGCTTAGCTTCAATTACTAAAATGCACACTTAAGAGCCCACCACTAGGGTTTCCAAAAGCCTCAGAACTAGAATAGCACACATATTGGCAAAGTCAAACTGGCTTCCACACATGTAACCTTATATGTGTCCCAGGTGTTGCCTTCAACAAGACTTTGACGGTAGTAGCTCTGCCTAGTATCCAGTTATTGACAGGTGTTGAAGAATCGTGTAGGTGTGCAAGAACACAGCTTTGCGTCACTCCTCTGAACGTAACAGGGCAAAGAAGCTTATCGACCCGCCCCCCCCCCCCACCACCACCACTTTTACAACACTTTCCCTGACTACCCTAGTACCAGCGTTACAGACATCGCGCTATCTAAGTCCAATAATCGCCTTCTTGTTTAGAATTCCTCTCCAGTCCTCAGGGATGCTCCCAGAGTGACTTCCCGACTTGACCGTTATCGAACGCCTTCTTTGACGCGGTCGACTTGTACGGCTGCCAAGACCAGGACCCCACCGCCCGAACCTCACGACCGCGGCCCGCTTCTACTCACGGACTGCGAAAGCGCTAAAGGAATATACGATCTCTATGTGGAGTAAATCCAGAAAAGTGCTCCCGGCCTCGATCCATCAGGAGGTGTCGCTGATACATCTCCACAAGTAAGGATGCGCGGCAAGACACCTCTGTAAGCCTGGCATACATACTATACCATACATATTATAATAATATATATATATTTGTATATCGATGTCTATATATATATCTAATACACTTATATCTATATCTATTATACAACGTTATTGACATTACACCTATATATATTATTATATTATATAATTATATATATACTATATATGGATGCTATATCATAATTATGTATATATAGGTATTCGTATATACTATGGTAATATATAAGCATATATATAATACTATATTATATATATATATATTAATATTCATAGTATATCTTATAACATATACTACATCACACACACAAACACACACACACACACACACACACCCACACACACACCACCAACGATATAACACCATAGTATATAGGTGTCAGCGAAGTCATGATATTTGACTACTCATCGCACAGTATGCGGTGTGCTTTACGTGAAAACACAGCTGTTGTTGTGGTGAGTGTCAGCTGCGTATGTACTATAAATGCTGCGTGAATATGTCTACTTGATGAACCGTATTATGCTGACAAATTCAACATTGAATGCGGTTCACCGAGATATAAGAGCATGGGCTATATTTGACCAGATTTCCCGCAAATTAAGATAATTACAGGTATTCTGACGAAGATATACCCCGGAATACCCGGATCCAAATTCACCACAGTATTACACTGTCTTACTTATATTGTATTTCTATACACTATATAGTATACATATACATATGACGACGATCCTTATTGCATATAACTATATACAATATATATATCATACTATATAATATATTATATATAATAATAAATATCATATACTATCTATATAAATTTATATATAGCTATATATTATTTATATAGTATACCTTCACTATACATAGATAATATAATAATACATGTGATATAATTATATATATTGCACAGCTATATATTATTATATATATTAATATAATATCTATATATAATTATATATCATATATATATGTAAATATAACTATACTTATATACTACACTATATATATTTCATAATATGCATATTTGCATATATAGACAGATCAGTGAGGTAGCATCTATACACGTGGTTGGTATATACGTATAAAGTATTGATTGTGTGTGTGTGCATATATAACTATATACCTATAATATATAACTCTATATTATATATTTATACTATAATATAATAATATATACATATATAGCTATATGATCTTGTGTGTGTGTGTGTGTGTGTTTAGTTACTATCACAAACCACAAACATTCACACCACACACGACACACCACACACAACACACACCACACACACAACACCACACACCACACACACATATCTACCTACCTATATATATAATATAATATATATATAACTATATATATAATGTCGGGTTGTGGTGTTGTTGTGTGTAACATTGTGTGTGTGTGTGTGTGCTATGTGTGGTGTGTGTGTGTATCACATATTCATACAATACATACATGTGATTCTTATGCAATTAACCGTAGAACGGTTGTGTTGTGAATAGGTATATATGTGTACCTAATATATAAGATAGCATAAGACTATAGATACTAATATGTAGGATAATATACATACCATACATACATTAATATGTGTATATATATAAATATACATACATACATTACCATATCTATATACAAGGATATGTAACTAACTATATATATATATAGTTTTATTAGTATATCATATCCAGTATATAGGATACATATTAGAATATATACTATTTATAACTAAATTAATATAGTATATATGTGCCGGAAGAGTAACATGATTATGTGTGTGCTAGAGTATCAGTAAGAAATCGTCCTTGGTGTTGTGTCAGAGTCGCAGACGACGCGACACGATATAGACATGGCTGTGGTAGCTGTGTGTGTTGTTGTGTGGTGTGCTGTGTGCGCGCGTCGTGTGTGTCTGTGTCGTGATCACACGACTGGTGTTCTGCTTGACCACCTATGGAGAGCAAAAATGAATCAGTGATTCTGTGTGATGTATTTTATATATCTATACATAATTTACACTACACACACACACACACCACACACATAGTATATTATCACATATCGATCTTGCATATTTATATGCAATGTAAGCTATATCGTGTAGAAGCTACTATGTACATAACACAATTCGAAAAATGAAATCTGGAAACACTATCTAGAAGCATTGTGTTTGTGTCCTATGTCGTGTGGATTTCGAGTCGTGAGTGAATGAGTACGAGCCTGAACAAATTAATAAAAAAGCATATATGTTTGTGCGGATGTGCTTGAAGACTATTGTGAGTATGAGTGAGTGTGGTGTCTATGTGCTGGTGAGTGTGTGTAGTCCGTGGTATATGTGTGAGGGGCGTGTCTATGTGCCTCGTACTATTCAATCGATGACATACTTATAGACCCTAATCTTAAACACATGCCGCTACATCAGTCAAAAATCCTAGAAATAAATCGGATATAACTAAAACACTCCTGTGACTATATCTGTCCAATGGTGTGGGCACTTAGATAGTGACATATGTAACTTTATATACCAATCTCTGCCATACATTAATGTGCTGTAATGAAAGTACTTCACCCATTGCTGGAGATATCGCTGTGTCGATGTATATATATGGGTGCGCCGCCGGCGCGACATGTGTGGTGGTGTGTTTTTGTATGCGTGTGTCGACTGTACCTGTGCGTGCGTGCATGTGGGTATGATGTGTGATGTGTGTGTGTGAGTGAGTGTATCAGTGAGCGTGTGAGTGTGAGAGAGAAAGGGGGACAGGGACAGCTAGAGAGAGAAAGAGAGATGGTGTGTGTTCCCAGTATCTGCATACTGTTGCTTCAGCGGGTCATCATGACTACGAACATGCACTTGCACGGCTCAGCGCCACAGCCAAGAGCTTACCTGGGAGAGAACCTCCATCCGGGGCCCCAGAGGATCCTTGACCACCTCAGGGAGATCCACCTTCTGCACGTCGTTGTCCACGCCTAAAAGTGGGAATTGGAAAACACGTACCGTTAAAAGCACATAAGTGTGGGTGCGGTGTCTTCCAAGTTTTCCACCATTACACCATACTATTCAAAAGCATGTTTAGTATCAATTCCCTGCTATGGTGTCCATTATCAAGGGTGTGCGATGCCCCAAGTGCAACAAGATTTTTTTTTTTTTTTTAATTACTGAAGCACGTCTAGTGTTTTTTTTTTTTTTTTTTTTTTTTGATTCTCGCCGTCTGGCGTTTTGTGTTTCTTTTCTCGATTGCCCTCTTTATTTATTGCATGTTCGTCCTAGCAATTAATCTACAGATCATTTAAGTCACCATGAGTATATAAGTAGAGTGACCTGATAGTGTGCAGTGCATCAAGCTTCGTAAAAAACTTACTTCTGGGTACCATTTGAAGAGGTCTACGTTCACTGCTACGAAGCAATTAAACATCAGCAGTTTATTCCTTAAACTCTCGTACTTAATCAGACCTTTCAAATTTAAGGCCGACAGTAAAATACGGGACAATACAACGCATCGACTCACACACGGAAGGCCATGTTTACTGCTCAGGATTCCTCTTATTCAGGCTCTTACGACCCACCCTGATTGTGGTAAACTCGATTTTCTACAGCATGGACTTCAAAATACCCATATTTTGCGAAATTTGCAACACCCGCAGCTTTGCTATTCAAAGGATCCTGAGTTTCCAATGTGCAGTAGGCGTATTCAGGGCAGGCATGCGGCCATACTTTTTCGCAGAGGCCATAACTTCAGTACC